GGGTGGCACTGCCCACAGTGTGCTGGGTCCTACAGCAATCATCAACCGAGAAAATGCCATACAGACATGCCCACAGGGCAGATTACTATTCCTCATCAGCAGACACCTCTTCCCAGATGACTTTAGCTTGTATCGAGTTGACATAAAACAGCAACAATACACACAAACCTCAGATGAATAACAGTCATTATACAAAATAATAGGTTTCATTATAATTATCTATATCATTGTTCTCTTTATTTTTCTAGCAACATATGAAAGTAAAGAGCCTGGAAGATGCAGAAAAAAATCCCAAAGCCATCGACACCTGGATTGAAAGCATCTCTGAGTTACACCGCTCTAAGCCCCCTGCGACTGTGCACTACACCAGGTGGTTATAACTGCAGGTCACTGTGTAGTCTGGCTGGCCTTCGGCTCATAGTCTTCCTGCCTCTCTGCCTCCTGCATGACGATACCTGGCAGACATACGACTTCACTGCTGCAGTTTATAGAAATTGTCACCATTGGTGACCCCTTGCTCCTGAGGAAAGGCCAAAACCTGGGGGGGGTGTTAAATTGGATCAGCCTGAGGTCCTTAAAAAAATAGACATTTACACTGTACTTCATTTAAAATAGGGAAGTGGCAGCTGCTGGCACAGACTGCAGGTGCAAAGATGTGAGTTCTCTGTTATGGTTACTTAGCTGGCTGCTTCAAACCATGCCCTGGTAAATTTGATTTTCCATTCTAGGTTCTCCTGAAACCCTGTGTGCCCAGTTGAGGACCTGGTTTAGAAGTGGCTGAGGTCACTGGCCAATGATTCCTCTTCATATTTACTTCTCTACTTTTAGGCCTATGCCTGACATTGACACGCTGATGCAGGAGTGGTCCCCAGAGTTTGAAGAACTGTTGGGAAAGGTGAGTGGGAAGGAGCAGGAGTAAGTGTGGCATCCATCCAGTGTTTCTCTCTTCCTGTGTTATCACTCGAACACTATTTATTTGTCTTGTTTTTATGTACATTTGATATTTGGCCTACATGTATGTCTGTGTGAGGGGAGTCGGATCCACTGGAGCTTGGGTTAGACAGCTGTGAGCTGCCATGTGGGTTCTGGGACTTGAACCCAGGTCCTCTGGAAAAGCAGCCAGTGCTCTTAACTTCTGAGCCATCTCTCCAGCCCCTGAACTAGAACCCATGATAGAAATGTATGCCTATCGTAAAACTTGATCATTTTGCCAACGTAACATACGTATGTAACCAACATGTTAGATCAGTGAACAGTACACCGCCAGCCTTCCAGACACCCCTTCCCTCCCCTTCCAAAGTGACCACTATCCTGTTTTTGTATTTTCTTTAAATCTAAATAAGCTTTCTTCTCTGTCCATTCCCAGTCCTGGAGTTTGAACCTAGGCCCTCATGAATGGCAGACAAGTGCTTTACCACTGAGCTAGTCATATTATAAGCTCTCTAAGCATACTTTTTTTTGTTTGTTTTTTTGAGACAGGATTTCTCTGTGTAGCCTTGGCTGTCCTGGACTCACTCTGTAGACCAGGCAGGCTGGCCTCGAATTGACAGAGATCCTTCTGCCTCTGCCTCCCAAAGTGCTGGGATTTTAGGCATGCACCGCCTTGCTCAACCCTATTGAGCCTTTTGACTGTGGTCTACCCTCTGTTTCTTGTAGGTGAGTCTGCCCACGGTCGAGATTGATTGCAGCCTGACCGAGTACATTGACATGATCTGTGGTAAGCTCCTCCCCGCTCCCCAGCCCCATCTTTGTCAGCTGTGTTCTAGGCCGTTGGAAGGGCTTGCTGAGCCCTGCACAGTAGTGTCTTAGTTTGCAGTTCTCACTGGAAGCCAGCTGTGCTGTTGACAGCCCTCCCGGGGGAGGGGGGTTGTTGGGGTTGGAGGTTGTTGGGGTTGGAGCATCGGACCCTAAGATAACGTGTCCTTTCTGGGAGGGGACTGGCATCCTAAACAAAAGTGCCCCCAGTTCTGGAGCGTGCTTGTCTCTCTCCCTGTGAGCTCTTCTCTGTTGCAGCTATCCTGGACATTCCTTTCTACAAGAGCCGGATTCAGTCCCTCCACCTGCTCTTTTCCCTCTACTCAGAATTCAAGAACTCTCAGGTGAGACAAGCAGTGGGGTACACTGAAGCTGTGCAGGGCCCTTCTGTGACTGTGTTCTCATCTGGGGTCACCATTAACCTTCCCATGATTGAGTGAGCAGCAGAGGTGGCTGGGGTGGGCTTTAGATGGAGCTCAGTGAGGATCTACATACAGAAGCAAAGAGCCTCATAGATGCAAGTGGCAAGGTTGAGCTCGCTCATGTAGTCTAGGCTAGTTGTAGAATCACAGTGATCCTCCTGCCTTGGCCTCCCAACTGCTGGGATTACAAGCCTGTGCCACCATGCTTAGTTTATCTTAAAGGGGTTTTAAAGTGGTCATCCTTGCTAAAATGTAGTCACCAGCATATTCCAAATGGTGTCTCCCTTCTTGCAGCATTTTAAAGCTCTCGCTGAAGGCAAGAAAGCATTTACCCCTCCATCCAACACTGCCTCGCAGGCTGGGGATGCAGAGACACTGACCTTTATCTGAGCCACCTCCTGGGGCTGTGCTGCCAAGTCAGATGAAGACATTGTCTCTGTGGGCAGCCTAACATCTGCCTGCTCCACAACTGGACTTGGGCCACACGAGGCCTGCTGCCTTGTCTGCAAGAGCAAGGCACACATTTGCCCCTGGGTTCCACCTGCCTCCAGTTGCCTTCCCCGAGGAAGGAAGGATCCACACTGCTGTGGGCATTTGAGTTGGAAGAACTGGATTTCCGGGAGCCACAGGACACAGGTTGGGGGAGGAGCTCCCGAAGACACTTTGAGTTAACTGGAAGTGATTTTATACACAGAATGTTCTGTCAGGTTGTGACAGAATACATACTGATTTTCACCCACGGCTCCTGGCTCATTACTTCCCCATTGCCCTGATGATTTCCAGAGTGACTAGGATAAGGCTGGGGCCTCTGATCAGGCCTGCCTCTGCCTCTTAGACGCATGTTCTTTCTGTCTCTGACTTCCTGTCCTCCTTCACCTGCTCTTTTCTCCCCAACCAGGCCACAAAAGCTGCATCTCTTCCTCAAGGCAATCAGACATTTGCTCTTACCCTCTCAGGCTCTTTTATTTTACTTTTGTTGGGGGTTGTGAGACAGGGTCCCATGTATCCCAGCCTGGCTTTGAACTATCTATACAGGCTGGTCTTGAAGAACTGCCTCCATTTCTACCTCCCATGCCCTAGGCGTACAGGTATATTGAGCCAAACCCAGCTTATTCTTAAATCCTTTGACCTACTTGGCTGATAATAGACCAAGACCCTCATTTAAATGGGGTTTTGCCCTTTATTAGCAAGGAAGAAATTCTGAGGAATTTCTAGATCCTACTGGGTACCCCACCATATCCACAGCATTAGGTCAGACAGTTTTTGCCCAGTCACATGTTTTCAGCTATGCCTTTGTGTGAAGTCTCCCTGGAAACCTCAAAGGTCAGGGCGTGGAGAGTTTTCACGTAGTCAGATGCAGGGAGGCGCCTGAAGGTAACATGCATCTGACTTGTCTTTTTGAATTTTAAAGCAATCGCGTTAATTTTAGACTGGCTGTCTTTACAGCCCAGAATGGCCAGTTCACTCTGTAGCTCAGGCTAGCATGAATTCATTATCCTCTTCCCTTTGCCTCCTTTGTCTGTTTGGAAGCTCTGAGCCCTGGCCTCTGGAATTTTTATGGGGACCTCATTGCACAGGCTTGATTGATTCCAGGACAAATATGTAGCAATACCACTGGACCCAAAGAATGTGATCTTTTGCTAGGATGCTGGGGAGGGAGATCCAAGCAAGGCCCCTCTGTTCGAGGCTTCAGTGGTCCTTGTCCCTGAGAGATGTGCCAGTAGAGGGAGAACCAACAACCTGGTGGTAGACTAGACGGGCTGGAGAGAAAGGCAGCAAGGATGACTCCAAGGTATTTTGGGCTTAAGCAACTGAATAAGTAATGGAGCCAAGTACTGATGGGAAGAAAGTGGGGCCACAGTGGAGTGGAGGAAAGGCTCCACTGTCAGCCTGATAGACCAACACACAGACTGTTAACTGTCTTACAAACTCAAAGCAGCTGTGATCATGTGAGGCTTGAGGCTATGTTGCTGCCTCACTCTGACCCCAAGTCAGGCGCTCTGCTCTCTTACATTAGCATTAGTATTTACCTCATGAGGAGGGGCAGTGTGCTGTGATAGGAGCTCAGATGTTCCATTAGGTTATCACGGAACAGACTGTCTTGGCTACAGCTCTTACAGTAGTTGATGCTCCACAATAACTAACACACTGAACTGCTGCTCTTGGTGGGCACCCAGGTGCTTGCTGCATGATGGAAAACTCATGTAATACAGAGAAGATTGGGACAGCCCCTTCACAAGGATGGCATGGAAATTCGTGAAGTGCTCTGTGTTTTTTCTGTTTAAATCTGCTGTGTTTTGTGCAGGACATGATCCTCTGTGCTACTCCGTGGTTATGAAACTGTTGAAAATGTAAAAGGAGGAGGAGGTGGGGGACAGGGAGGAGAAAATCTACCATTTATGCCCTGTCAGAGCATTTGTGGGGAACACCAGGCCCCAGGTTCCACCACCAGCACAGCAAAAAGAAAGAGAGGGAGTGTGGTTCATTTTAACACGTACTTGGAAAATGAGGGTTGTGATACATGGCTGTAATTCCACCACTTGAGAAGTAAAGGCAGGAGGATCTGAAGTTCACATTGTCTCTGTCCAATACTGAATTCAGGGCTAGCTTAGACTACATGAGTCCCGGTTTCAAAAAAGAAACACAAAAAAATATTTTTGAAGAAATGAACAAACGTATTTATCCGATCAAAGTAGTTTACTGTGTGTGCAGCACGGCTCTAACCAGTAACGTGAGGAAAATTATAAAACAAGATACTAAGAAGGGAAAATATACTCTGTTGTTCCGTAATCATTTTCATGATGCGTTTTAAAAAATATTCTTAGTTCTTTGGAGCTCTGTGGGCTTCCGCTTTCTGTCTCCCCTAAAACTTCTGACATTGTTGAATTACGTGCCTACTGTGGCCATCCCCTAGAGAACAGGATGGGGCAGCCAGGGACTGGTCAGGGATGCGGCTGCATGGTGGGAGAGACATGCAGAGAGGGAAACCATCAATCCTGAGTGCTCAGAACACTCACAGTGAATCGCTGAAGGCCAAACATGGGGATCCCAAGAAGGCCCTGGGCCCTCCTCTTTCCCGGGGAATGTGCTTAAAGTGCAAACACTTGTACAAAACACTAGCTACAAGCCGTCCTGGGAACCAGCAGGCTTGTCACCTCTTCCTGCTCTTCTTGTGCTAATACCAAAGGCTGGCATCTGGGCCCCTCGGCCAGTGGAGGCCTAATGCCCAGTGAAGAAGGTCAAATGTATGACCTGTGATGCCCAAGAGGAGGTGGGGACAAAAGGTCAGAAAGACATGCAGCCAAAGAGACTAGTTTGTGCTTGGCCAGGTCCCCGGGCAGGGGCTGGTTCCTGAGCAAAGGACAGTTTGGCTCTATGCGGAGAGCAGGGGCTATGTTTTCCCTGAGGGAAGAAAGCTGCATAGCATAGGAAGGACATCTGAGCTGTGCAGGGACCCGCCTGTCCCCCACATAGGCACCCCTCTGTCTTCTGGGTGAGGTGCAGAGGATACTAATGTGGGACATACAGTAGCCCATCTCTTAGCTGTTGGGTGACACCTGAACACACCTGGCTAGAGTTCCATCAGCTGGGCCAGGTTACCACATGCAGGGCCCCAAACTGAGTGAGCGCAAGGGCCTTAGTTCTGACCAGTGGGCTTACCGAGGGTACCCCTGCCCTGCAGGTTAGGGTGCAAGAAATACACATGCATGACCCAGAGGGCACCCCTCCTAGCAGGGCCAGGTGGCAGTGGCATGGCTTCTTCATGGTCATAACGTGGCCAGGCAGAGGAGAGCCTGAAGGAGGCATTGGGGTGGGTACTCCGGGAAGCCCACAGGCCACCTGGGCCTCATGCCTCACCCTCAGGCTCAGAGCCAGATCTCATCACTGCTTACGCTGGACACTCGGTAGATGTAGCCCAACATGGGGAGACGGATGAAGCCTGTGGGTCAGAGATTCGAGGGGCTTTGTAACCCTGGTTCTCTGGAGCTTGGGGGAGCCCTCTCTGCTCCCAGCATTCAGAGGCATTGTGTATAAGCACAGGTATGGGAAGAGGAGGTAGAGGAGAACAGTCTCTGTTTCATACCTCGGCTGGTGAGGAGGCCACCAGGCTCGGCTTCTAGAAGCTCTGGACGGCTGCTATGCTGAGCCACTGGCCGCTCTGTTGCTTTCCCTGTGGGTGGCAAAGGAGGTTGTGCCCAGGACACGTCTCCTCCTGAGAACCAGGAGGCGTTGTCAGAACTTTCTTAGAAGTTCTGAACATTAAGCGCAGGGAGAGATGCTGCGGTCTCGGACATACCTCTGAGGTCTGGAGTGAGGTCGTTGAGCTGGAGGTTGGATGGGAGGGACATGTTCTCCCGTGGCAGCCGCACATTATTCAGCTTCAGGTTATTGGAGTCACTACAGGATAGACAAAGGCTAAGACGCCAGCAGGTATGCAGTCCGCTTTGAGGCTCGGTCCACACCTCCCACAAGCCTCAGGTCACCACATGTCCTTTCATTTCAAAATCTAATTCCTTGCATTTTAGTTCAGCCCATCTGCCCAGCCCAAGGAAGCATTACCTAGATATCAGAGAAGGACGCCGGGAGGGGCCTGAGGACAAAGAAGCCATGTCACAGAGTCAGTGTGGCCTCCCATGCTGGGCTCTGACCACCTGCCTTTTCAGACTCAAGACCTTTGAGCCAAGAGTCTCTCAAATGCCCAGTCCCGGCCCTGGGACCAGAGACAGCTTTCCTGTACCTGTTCCTGCTGCCTGTAGCCTCACCCACAGCCACGCCCTGCAAGTGCTCGGCCAAATGTCAGAGATGGCCCGCTCCACCCACCTCCACCTGCCACCTCTGCTGCTCACCCCCAACTTCACTCTTACTCTTCCACCCCCCTCGGCCTCCATCGCCTCTGGCCCTACCTTTAGTTTTCTTCTCTTTCCTGCAGACCAGGCAGGCCACCAAGGTACTGAACCCCACTAGAGTGCCCAAGGCAAGCCCTGCAGCCACAACGATGCCCAGCACTGGCACTTCTACTCGGGTGGCCAGGAGCCCTGCAGATTGTCCACCGGTTAGTTTCCATGTGGGCAGTGCCCGCAACCCTGACATGCCATGCGTCCAGCTGCTCTGCCCTTGCCCGGGGTGGTTGGGGACAACGCATCCACAAGGTCCACCCTCAGAGCAACAAGTCCTCCCTTTCCATCCAGGACCCCTGCACCCACCTGAGGGTTTGCCAGGCCAGTCACCCACCTGCAGCTGGAAGTGAGGCACTGGTAACGCCCACGTCGTTGGTGGCCACCACTGAGAGGTTGTGCGCCAAGCTGCGGAGCTGCAGCTGCACAGTGTGGTTGGTGAGCCAGGGATAGTTCTGAGCATCCAGCACCAGGAAGTCAGAGGCATTGACAGTCACTGGCCCATCCTGGTCAATCCAGGTGACATTGGCAGGGGGGTTGGCCCGCACCAGAGCAAACAGGACAACCAGAAGGCCTGGGCCCTGAGCTTCCTGGTACTTGGCTCCGACCTGGGCAATCTCTGGTTTAACTAGAGCAGAGCAGAGAATAATGTTTTCATCACAGCCCTTCACCCTTGCCCTTTCTTCCCAAATGTGGATAGGAGCAAGGGCCTGGGCTTCTCCTCAGAACAGGAAGAAACAGGCAGCTGGGCCTGCTGGTACAGCTTCAGTTTATAGTAATTAGGAGTAGAAAGCCAGGGCTTGGGTATGTGGCTCAGCCAGTAAGGTGCTTGCCTAGCATGTATAACACTCTGGTTTAATGCCTAGCAAAGCACAAAACCAGGTGTGGTGATACATGCCTATAATCTCAGCACTCTGGAATCTGAGCCAGGGGGATTTCCAGTTTGGGGCCACTCTTGGAGATGTAGCAGAGATGGTAGAATATTTGCCTACCATGTGCAAAGTCCTAGGTTCAGTCCTCATAGCACATGAAACAGGCATGGTGGCACAGGATTAGGATTAGGGAGTTAGAAACAAGAAGATCAGAAGTTCAAAGTCAACCTTGGCTATGTACTAAATGCGAAAAAATTCTCAAAGTATAGAAATAAAAAGGGGAAGCCAGGCATGGTGGCATACGCCTTTAATCCTAGTACTTGAGGCAGAGGCCACTGGATCTCTGTGAGTTTGAGGCCAGCCTGGTCTACAAAGAGTTCCAGGATAGCCAAGGCTACAGAGAGAAACCCTGTCTCAGAAATAAAATAAAATAACATAAAATAAAAATAAAAAGGATTAGAGCCAGATGTGGTGGTTCGTGCCTTTAATCCCAGTACTTGAGAGGCAGAGCAAGACAGGCAGAACTCTATGAGTTCGAGGCCAGCCTGAGCTACCGATTGAGTTCCAGGACAGCCAGAGCTACACAGAGAAAAAAAAAAAAAAAAGTAGAAAGCCAGACAAAGGATCTAGATTTGAATCCTGGCCCTACTTCTTAATTGTGTCTGATACTGGGCAGACTGCTCAACCTGTTTGTGCCTCACTTTCTCATTTGTAAAATAGGAATAAAATAAAAATTCCCTCTTAAGATCAATGAGGAGAAAGTAAGATAAGTGCTTAATGTTTGTGAATGTCCTGTTAAAGTTAAATGTGTTATGCATGCCAGGAATCTCATTGCTTGGGAGGCTGAGGCAGGAGATTTGCAAGTCTGAGGCCAACCTAGTACGACTGTCTCAAAACAAAACACACAAAACTCAAAAAATGTTCTGCTGGGGGTCCAGGAATGTCTCTTCCTGCACACCTTAGGGATGCTCACATTGCACGTTGAGGACGACAGAGGCGTTGGCTGACCGGCCACTCCCTGGGTCCTGCAAGGAGCAATTCAGCTCATGCTGGGCTCGCTGGGCAGTGACAGTGAAAGTGCTGGTGCCTCCAGAGAAGGCCTCCCCGCCCACACTCAGCAGTCTCGAGGTGGTGGCCTCCTGTAGCCGTCCATCCAGGTACCAGGCTAACCGGGGAGTGGCAGAACCTCCTGCCACTCGACAGGTGAAGGCATGGCGTTCATTCTCCCGAAGTGCTTTCTCAGCCCAGGTCTGACCATCAATTTGTGGTGCCAGCTCTCCTTGACCTGGAACACAGAAGGCAGCCTCTGAGGGGCTTGGAGAGACCAGGGTGAGGTCCAGTTACAGACAGGCAGCAGGCTAAGAGACAGGGCAGCTGGCTTCTCTCACCAGGGCCTGGATGGACCCAGGGTAGGGAAGTGAGGATAGGGGAATCCAGCTATGAAGCCTGGAGTGAGTACCTTGAGAGGAGATGCAAGCAAGGAGGGCCAAGAGGGGCCTCTGGCTCCTT